GATCCCAAATATAAACCACAAAAAGGAACCACAATGGAGCCCCCAAAGCCCTGAACCCTAAAACCCTGTACCCTGAACCCTAAACCCCCAAGCCCTGAACCCTAAACCCTAAAACCCTACACCCTATACCCTAAACCCTCATGGAGCCTAGAGGTACTTTAAATCCTAAGCCCCGAAGCTGAACACCCAAAGCTCTCAACCAAGGACCCTCAAGTGTGCCCGGACCTGAGGAGATCTGTGGTGTGGCTTTGCACATAAAATGCCTGAACATCTAGACAAACCCTAAACCCTAAACCCTAAACCCTAAACCCTAAACCCTAAACCGTAGAGTTTAGGGTTTAGGGTTTAGGCCCTCAACATGAAGACGAGGGTTTTCAGGGTATCCAAACTACCTGTTATGTGTCAGGTGATCCCACGATATGGTATTGATACTTATTCGGCCCTTAAAGGGACCTCCACCAACGAGATGCCATGCTCTCCGGAGGAGAGACATGCGGGCAACCCACCGTTGTCAGGATCAGACATATCCTCAGCGACATTACGACTTGCACTGTCTAACGTAGGATTGATTCTACCCTAAACCCTAAACCCTAAATTCGGAGGGAAAGCGCTCACATCTGTGGCTCAGAGCTCCGTTAGACATGGGGGGCTTAGGGCTGCAAGCAAGGCGGGCAGGGTTCAGGGGGGGCGGGATTGCAAGGCTCGGGGTGTTAGAAGGGTTGTGGGTATATCCAGAAGAGATCCTAACACACCCTTACAAGGGTCTAGGGTTTGGGGTTTTAGGTTTAGGGTTTTGGGGTTTAGGGCTTTTTGGGTTTAGGGCTTAGGTTTAGGGTTTTAAGGTTTAGGGCTTAAGGTATAGGGCTTGAGGGTTTAACCCTTCCGCCTTTGCATTTCTTGTTTCGAGGAGCCTCTTGGAGGCCAATGAGCAAGCCCCAAACATCTAACTCCTTTAGGGTTTAGGGGTTTAGGGGTTTAGGGGTTTAGGGTTTAGGGGCTCATCAACCCTCAACACTGCCCCAGCTACCGTATCACACAGGTGGCCATAAACCTACAGCCATCACATGCTTCAGCAGACTCCATCATCCTCCATGCTTTCCATCGGAACGACGAAGGGGTCTAATACATATATATATATATATACACACGATGTATGTATATATATGGTACCCCCCCC